GTGAGAACACTACTAATAAAAAAGAAACTTTCTATAGCAATCTAGGTTTGTTATAAAAAAAAAAAACCCCCCAGAAAACAAAAAAAAAAAACTTATAATACAATATAACTATGTGATCACTGCCACGATTATGCTAACCATCCAAGAATATTTTTTAATGTGAATAAAATATTTGAGCTTTTTACTGAAGACTTTAATGAGCAGTAGGCTCTTGTCAATAATATTTGGACAAGATTTAATGGATACATGTTAGATAATGGTAATAAATGCAAAACATTCATTTGTAGACTTTTAAAGCCTAAGGAATCAAGCAGAAGAAAAGAAAACCTTACTCCCGAAAAGCTTCGTATAATCTGAAAAAAACCTGCTATTGATTGTGAAGCTAGGATTAGAATAATATAGTTAGCGGTCTCGAATATGGTTAGAATTAAGAGGATAAGAGTAGAAATGATATAAAAAAATCAAAAAAAAACAAAAAATAAAATAAAATAATTTTTTTTAGATAACTGGTGCCCTGATCATAATCACTTAATAGAAGAAAGCAATATGCGTAAACGGTTAAAATTTATTAAAAATATGGTAAATAACGAGGCAATTAAGGGTAGAGGTAATAATTTCGATTTCATATAAAATTAGTTGTAGATCGCTTTTTGTATAACCAAACAGAAATCGAACACCTGATATTAATCTAGAACGTTCTATTAATATTCTACAAAGTATATCATATCGATGCAACTCTTTGATCTGTGCTTTTTTGACAACGCAAGTAACAAATAACAAGAGGAAGGCAAATATTAGTTTCGAATAAGCATCGCAATGTGGTAACACAATTTAGAACATTATTTTAATATGTATAATTTGCAAAAGAACTCTCGACAAATCGAAAGTTGAAAAAATTAATTAGTTGGTTAGTTGACAACTAATCGGTTGAACTTTTTTGATACTAACTAATCAATTAATCAATTAATCGACTAATCAATTAGTTGCAACTAATCGATTAAAGAATTATTTGCTAATCGATTGAAAAATTAATTCTTTAATTAATTAGTTGCAACTAATCGATTAATCGATTAGTTATAACTTACAATTAATCAATTAGTTGTAACTAGTTTGTCAACTGAAAAATAATTACTCAACTTATCGATTGAAAAAATTTTGACAATTTGTAACACTACTCTCGATATAGTGAAAATTCAATTTAGTGAAGAATTTTGAATCACGAAATTATTAAAATTTAGCTCGATATGTATAGTATTCTCTCGATATAAGCTAGTAATAAAAATTTATTTTTTCAGTTCAACAACTTCACTATAATGAGAGTGAGTTGTATTACTTTAGATTTCGTGGTCAAGATAGTGATCAATGTTAATTCAGGTAAAATATAAATTTTATTAGGAAAGTACAAATATAAAAATATGAAAGTAAAAAAATAATATTGAAAAAATTTCTAAGTTTTTATTCAATATGGCCATGCTTTTTTTTTTTCTTGCACAAGGGAACTCGCATTCTCTACTATACCCTGGATTATTACAGTGGACATCAAGTAAGCTGTACTGGTCTTCCGTTCAAGCCAGATCATTTGGTTAACAAAACCATAATGAACTAGATCTGCCAAAGCTAATTTAGCTAAGGCTTTTGTGTGTAAAATCGTCAGTTTTGGGTGATTAATAAGTTCTATCAATTGTAGCTTTCTACCTTTAATTCGTGCATTATTTAAACAACAAAAAATTTTTATTACATCTAAAGGTAAGATTGGCTTGTCATTATTCTCGCATAATATTTCCACCACCTTTAACAAATCTAAAATTTTTGTTTTTATATCTACTAATTTAGCTTTGTCTTTTACGCATCTAACACAATTATCACAAGAATTACAAGCCTGCAGAATTGGATCTTCTGGCCATGTATGATATTGTGATATTAATTGAAATTGGCATTCATATATGGTAAGGCAATAATATATTACTCCAAAGAGTTTGTGCTGTGATTCTTTTAAAAAGCATTCTCGCGTTATAGTTTTCTCATCATTTACATCAGTACTACAAAAAAGTATATTAGAGAATTATTTAATAAAATTTAATGTATGATTTATTAATAATACCTCTCTCTATTTTCTGAGATAATAGAGTAATTTGTATGAATATCCTTTTTAGAATAAAGGATAACGCAGTTGGCGTTCTGTTGATCCTGTCTGGCCCGACCAGAAGTTTGGATAAGGCTAGCTATTCATGTGAGTATTAGTTATTGTTCTCTAATAAATTTATACCTATTAAAAATAATATATACACTTACTCATACTCATTGGGAAATTATAGTGTATAACTAGACAAACATTGGGCATGTCTATGCCTAAGCCAAAAGCCGATGTTGCAATCATTAGACGTGTTTGACCCTTATTCCATTTTTTCATCACATCATTTTTATTGCTTTCTGGGGGGTTTTTTTTTTTTATAACAAACCTAGATTGCTATAGAAAGTTTCTTTTTTATTAGTAGTGTTCTCAC